GATAGTCTGCATGAAGCACTCCTGCAGAATTCCTTGCAATACAGGTGTAAATACCTGTATCCCAAACCTGAGCATTGTAAACAACAAGCTGTCCAATGTTCGTGATGACCACATTCCCATACATTTGGTCTGGCCTCATGACCAGTCGCTCTCTCCGCTCACTCTGCTTCTCCCATGTCACATCAGGCCTGGGGATGCCTACAACATCACAGTGGAAGTTGACTGTGCCTCCCACATAAATGGACTGATGGTGAGGATTGGAGTAGAGTGTGGGGGGCATGGGGTTCTCTTGGGATGAGGCCGGGGTAGGATGCGCTGTTGTGTCCTGGGGTAATGGACTGGTATGAGGTCCAGCGAGATAAAAACGACAGGCAACCACTGTCAGTGTGACTCCGCGTATGCAAGCCTCTGCATCCATGTAGCAGCGGTTGAAATAAGTGAGACCATCAGAGGCACAAGTAAAGTTGGGCTCCTTTTCACAGCGGTCCCGACACTTGCAGATGGGTTGACCTTCCCAGATATCACAGGTGGCGCCCTGCTGGCTGCAGATGAAGCCATCACAGGTTGCAGTGGAGTTACTTTCACTTGTATTTCCTGCACTCTGCCCTCCAGGTTGAGCTGGGGTTCCGTCAGAAAACCGTGCGGCCACACAGCTGTTTAGACCACACACGTTGGTGCAACATTTTTCAAAGTCGGCACAGTCCTGTACAAGATGCAAAAGTGTATTTTAGATTAGACACAGCGTAAAACCTAAAAAAAATATTTAAAATGAAAAGTGTCTTACCTCGTCCACGTTGCATTCCCTTTCGCAGGTGCTTTGCGCATCAACCCACAGATTGGAATTCAGTTTGTTTGGACAAAGTCCTTCGTGGGCAATTTTGTAATCTGTCATCTCTCCACTCCCTAAACCCGGGAATTTTAAAATCAAAATAATAAGAAAACACCTCCGCATCCATCCTATTTTTTTCTTCGAGTTTGGCGTGCTTACATGTTGAAAGGCCTCTTGATGTTTTTCCGTTTTCGTTTGTTTGTTAGTTTTTTTCATCGTTGCTTTCTTGAAAAAAACGCCGTCTTATGAAATCCATAACTCAATTCTGGGCAAAATAGTAATAATAATAATGAAAATAAATAACAGATCTGGATTATAGAGCCCAATATGTGCGTAATGGTTAAATTGCGCAGAGTAAAATATTCACCCAGACAAGGTCTTGCGTTGTTCGTTCGGAAACAGAATTCTTTATAAAAACGCATATGAGTTTCATAATTAGGCTATTGTGTCTTCTCCAAAACGGGTTTCTAGCTCCGGTCAGCAGCACACAGGAGTGAAACTCCACAATGAGAGTGAGGGTCGCAACACCAGCCTTTCAGAGCTTGAATGAAAGCAAAAAGGGCAGCCCCCTGACCACCCCCATGATCGTCCAGAGTCTGAAACTTTTATGAAGCGGCACCGTGCTCTAAGCAACTGGACAAACATAGTAAAAACATCAAAAGAAGTCGTGCGCCAACTGCGCTCATCACGAGTCCAGCATTCCGGTGAGATACACTGATACCCAGACTATACAGAGATACAGTTTAAAGGGGTCTTGAAGTACTTTTCTTTCTCTCAAGAATAGGACACTATTTTGGGGGGCCCTTCTCTCCTAATGATACAGAATTTCTAGATTTCTTCAAGTACGCGAAACTGTCCAGTCTCTAAGAGCGTAAAAACATAAAAAGTCAAACATGGGGCGTGCCGTAGCATGTCTTACAAAATGTTGTTTACGCCCTTCTTGTCTAGACGTCGCTTTCTTTACCACCGTCCCTCATTCACACGTAGCTCAGAGATGCCACGGTCAGGTGGGAACACATAAAGTACCACATTTTCAATAGTGTGCAACTCTTCATTGTCCCGACGCCGCTCTGAGGCGATGAGAATCGGCTCCCTCATCTTTTCATTGGAGGTGACCCCACAACCTTTAAGTGACTTTTGACCGTGTGGCATTCATGTGTTGCTGCAGCGCCCGGGTTTCCAAAAGTGGCCAATACCGAGAAACTAATCAATTCAACCCCCACTTGCGTTAACTGCAAACCAGCATCGGACCGGACAAAGAGAACAAAGCTCTTCGACAATTCCCACGGTGACCTTGATAGAAGTTTTAATAAGATAACAATCTGAACAACGAGGACAAGTTTCTCTCTTTATTTCGAGCCTTTCGTAAGGCAATTTAAACTGAAAATTAAGACAGTTGTCCCCTCTTGTCTGTTTTGTCAGCAGTAATATTTGATGTCGACAGCTCCCTACAGCTATAACTATCAAGCCAACAGAGACAGTTAATCAAGGGTGCAATTTGCTTTAACAGTTATTTCCGTTTTTGAATATTGTGGAAAAGAAGCAGCATTAAAAACATGGAATGTTTTGAAAAAGAAGCAACACTTAATGGTGGAGTAGCAGTTGACTTCCTTAACCTTACTTTAATCCTATGTATAACCACAGGTCACATACCAGTATAAAGTATACATTCATAAATACAAAATGTACATATCTTTAAAAAACATAATTGTAAAACTAGACATCATCCCTCTACCGAGTTAACCAAAAATTAATTGTATGCAAGCATGTTTCTGAAGGCATGACACCTCAGTTCCCAAAATCAATAGGAAAGCACCTGTTAAACAGATGGTATTGTCACATAAAGATGATAGTAAATGCTGCACTAACTAATGAGGTATACAAAGTCTGTAGAGGGTTAAAAGATTTGTGATTGTATGGAATATTAGGTTTTCAGCAGGATACTTTACACTGGAATGCATCACATGACATCTATATTGATTCCTGTTGAGTGAAAAAGAAACAATTTCAATTCTGTTGTGACTTTGAATTCCTGACTAAAAGTAAACATTTCCCATAACACTCAAGATACACAAAATACATTCCACCAACACATACATATATACACAACAAAAAGTCACCCAAAATGCTAGCTAGTCCTTTCATGTAGTGTTATCATACAAATTAATCCATTCGAGATTCAAGACTTGATCGCAAGGCACCTCTGTATAGAGACTAGTAAAAAGTATCCACAAGATGGCACTAGCGAGCTGAAAATTGTCCAATTCAGTTCAAGTCTTTGAAACCATCTTATACGTAGCTAGTAACGTGTCTGACTCTAGCCTTGTGGCCTTTTAAGAGCAACAGCAATAATGCTGTTAATACAGGCCAAATGAAGACAACTATGTATGTGTGTTGGCCTATGAAATCTTGCAGTTTCCCTTGGATGATGAAGAAGAGTTCTTTGGTGGACTCTGTGGAGGCCTGAAAGACTTTGAGCGTTTTAAACTGTTGCCTTTGCTTGAATTGCCCCCTGATGCTGCGCTGTTGGCCACAGAGTAAGAGCGTCCATGCATCATGACTGCATTCATGCCATTGGCCATTGAGAAAGACTTCAGGTGGGATTTAATAGCTACAGGGAGAGGCAGCTTGTCTATGAGGTGTACTGGTGTACATGACACAATAGAGCGGCAGCATAGATCTTGAAGGCTGAAAACTGCAAAAGATGAAGATAACAAAAAAACAATTAGCCAAGCACAAAAAACTTTGAGTGTATTTGTCTAACAAAGCAGTCAAATTGTTAGACAATATTTAACAAGAATGCACAGTGAGAGATATCAATAAGCATGTAAATAAAGATAAATCAAAAGATGAAATATTTAGTTTTGAATTATGAATACATTTCTCAGTCTAGTTCATGTCACTCATACCAATGTAATAAAACACACAAAAAACATTTAGTTTGTGATTTTATTTTCTACAATCAACATTTTTAATTAATCAATTAACGCAAATGGACACCGTTTAGCAAAATGTATTTGGGATTGTTTCTCTTAAAACTACTCTTTACATTATTATTATAATGCTAATCACTATATACAAACTTATGATTTTTTTTAAACATTATGAGCCAATGTTTGAATCATTAGAATGAAAACAAATAGAAAAAAGCTATGCAAAAATACATTTATAGTTTTATTAATTTACAGCTTCATGAGCGCAGAAATCTTCAATCTGGAGCTTTCTAAATGCTATAAAAGACTCAGGCTTTCTTCTACCATGGATAATGTGAACATCCCGGGATGCAATAATGATGTACAATCTCTGAAACTCCAATAAAGTTTGTTAATTATGGCCAACATGGTTAGTGTCTATGGGAATTCTCCGCCACTACCACTACATGGTGCATGCCAGGATAGTGTGACAACAACCAAAGGAGCTCTATGGACAATGTACACCCTCTTATCAGCCATCCAAGAACTCAAACATTTTTATTTCACTCAGCATTTTAGACTTGGTACCTCACCAGCTGCCATGCAACTACACTCAGTTTTTTTTTTGTTGACAACAGTAACAATAGTGATTGGAATAACATGCTCACCTCTGTTAGGTCTCCAGAATTTCTCCATCCCATGCCTCATAAGCACTATCCGTGAAAGTTCTGTGAAGGACTCGATGACGTTGAAATTACACAGAGGACTAACCTCAAAAAAGGTCATACTGTTCTTTTCGGCATAGGCACGTGCCTGCTCTGTTGGAACCTGGCGTTTGAAAGCCAGATGAAGGCGGTTACCTACAAGAATCCTTGGTACACCAGGGGCATGCTGACGGATAAAACAGAAATAACCAAACTTAGGATAATGATTAAACATGAACCCTATTTTAATTGTTTAAGCAGTAGACACTTTCTTACTTCATCAATTTCCCTAATCCACCGATCAATGCCATCAAAAGACCATCCGTTGGTGATGTCATACACAAGCAGAATTCCCTACATTGAAAAAAGAATTTTCATTCATATATAGAATGAGATCATGATCATCAGTGAGATGGAATTTTTTCATGAGAATTATCCAAAACAAAAAAAACACAAATGTTGAACTTCAGCATTTACATCGGTGACATGGTTTTCCAATCACATCCCAGTTCTACCGGTCATAAGCTGCATTCATTCTCATTGGGAAACTCAGAGATAATGATAATAATGTAATTATCCAACTTCCAAAAGTTAGATGTTCATAGTTCATCACATAAATGCAGCAATAAAATGTTGTTAAGTTATTTAACTCTGCAAATATATATTGGGCCATATATTGATAATAATAAGAACCAATTCAACTCACTTGCGCCCCACGAGAGTAAGATCTAAAAATGGTGCAGAATCGTCCTTGTCCCGATGTATCCCTGTAAAGAAAATTGCATGATTGTTTTTGATGAAGTCTTATTGGCAAACAACATTAGGCTTAGATAAATACTCACCATAGCTCTAATTTGACTCGTCTTCCATCTAGCAGGATGGTTGTAGTTTTGTAATCTATACCTGGGAATCACGACATAACGATTGAGCGTCTTTTTTTTTTTTTTGTAAACATCTGGTAAAATCTAGTGATTAAAATGTACATACCGCTGCTGTATGCGTATGGTGATTCAACTGATCCATCTTGTAAACTTTCCAGGATTTCACCTTTGCCAACATCGCTGTCTCCTACTAGTAAAAACTTCAAGAGATAATCGTAGCTCTTGACAGGACTACTTTGAGTCCCCATCATCCCACGCATTGGATCCTATTTTCTGAGAGCTGATAGCTCAATATTGACTTCAAACTTTGCAAAAAAAATAAAAATTAAAAAAATCTCTAATGTTTTAATTGGGTGAGGCTGGCAACACACTAGTCGTTTAGTTAACAGATTCCAACTAATAAACTTATTGTGCACCAATAACTCCCGTTAAATCTTTATTTAAAATTCAGTAGCTTGCACTGATTAGTTATATACTGAGACAACGAAGTCCACTGTATTTTCATCACATAAATAATCAAAACCTCCAGTAGCTACTAGCATGCTAGCTAGCTAACGGTAGACTGTATACACACATCACGATTTGTAATGATGTCACTATGATCAAATATAATAACCAGCACTATATAGTATAAGTAATATATCAGCTAGAAACCTCGCAAAGTATTAATCTAAATAAATTCATAAGAAAACCATTAGTCGAGGGCATCCAAAACCGCTCGTATCGCGATGTGTGGTGGTACTTCCTGGTTTTGGCACCATGATCTACGTAACTTCCGGGAAAAATAACAATTAAAATATAGATCTGCTTTTAAAATATATTTTAACTTTTTCAGACTAAAACCATATGTAATAATAAACATCAGTGCATAGTTGAAAAAAAAACTTATTTATTTATTTAACTTATTTATTTATTTAATAAAACTCTATTTATCCAGTCATGATCTACTTCTAACGTCTTCTCGGATTGGTTGATTAGTATTTGCAACAGCTGTGAAACTCGTGCTTCAAATTCACTAAAAGCTCAGTCACTTAGAGCATAGGATTATTAGATACAAGTTTATAGGCCTGCAGGTTCTGAAAATGTGGTTCTGTCTAGGTAGATTTTTAGTAATAATTAGTTGTTTTGTCTGTAGTGATGGGGAATTTATTAAGAATCCAGAATTAGAATGGGACAATATGTCAAAAATGACGAGGAAAGTATCATCTGAGCCTTTACTAAAAGTTTTCAGAAGTGGGATATCTCCTCAGTCTTCTAATTCTGAATTTAGAATGCTTCCAGACTTTGTTGTAGTGTCCTCAGTTACAGATCAGAAAGCTCTTTTCAAGCCTGAAAGAGGTACAAGGCCACTGCCATATTCCGTCAAGAGTTTACTGTTCCCCACTACTGTGGCTCCCACAGTGTCTACGCAACCTAAGGTAGTTGAAATCCTGTGCCACATTGATAGAATATATGTGAGAGTTAGAAGAGATATCTTTAAGACTTTGGACGCATACAGTTATTTAAAACTGGGCACTTGTCCTGTCAACCAAGGCACCACAAGCCATTATTATTTTCTGTACTTGCTGACATCAGGCTGTGATTTCAAGAAACAGGTTTGTTTTTTTGTCTTACAAGATTTGTCATACCAGTTAAGTCTGGTCTGAGTATGCTTGTTTTCTAGAGCAGTGTAGATCATGTGATTGTAAAAAATGTTATTCACTACAAGCCAACCACATTGGTTTTAAGAGAGATGCCTTTTGATGTATCTATTCAGTGCAACTATCAGAGGTAAGTGGCCTTGGTCTTTGCAAATTATCTGTACCAGATCTAACACTGTATTGCAGGTTTCATCACTCCTACAAGGTTGGCATACGCCCCAAGCTTTTGGGAGGAACATTATTTAAATCTCTTAGACGAAAATGTCCTGTTTTACTCATACTTCAAGATGGCAAGTATTACTGTTTTAATGGATATGTTACCAGTTATGTGCTTTTAGCTATGACTAAAAAACAACAAAATGTATCCATGTATTTGCATAATGTAACGTGCATTCCTTCTAGCTTCCATTCTCAATTTGTTTTAACTGTCGACTTTTTTAGAATCTGGTAATGAGATGACCAGACCCTTTGTTATGGGAGAACCAATGTTCTTTGAGGCTAAACAACCTGATGGGGCACCAACCTCTGCAGATGACAGGATGTATATCAACAAGTGCTTTATAACACCCTCTCTAGTTCTTTCCTCAAGTACTAACTACACAGTCATTGATAATTATGGGTAAGTGTTTGCAATACAACGTTGCTTCATTTCAAAGACATCATATGCATTTTTTTTTTTTTTTTATTACAGTTGCATGGTGGATGGTAAAGAGTCTGCAGAGTCACGGTTCCTTGGTGGGTTATCAAAGCTAACTCAGAGGTTCACAATAAATGCTGTAATTTTAAAGGAACTGGCATCTAGTTCAAGCACAAAGGTAAATGTAGGCCTATAAATATTTGCCGAGATTTTTTTTGTGTTTTGTTTTTTTAACTTAAATCTTTCTTTTGTAGCAACTCTACATGCACTGTGATGTCTCTGTGGGAAAACATCCTCCAACTCAAGGTCTTAAGGCTTGCAATTATGACGCAGGCACCAAAACGTGAGTTTACTCTATTTTGGTTACGCATAAAACCTTCACACTGTACAAAGTAAATGTGTCCTTGCTTATTAGGTGGAAGGAGTTATATGGATATGACTCTTTGTGCTCTTGCTGTGACTCATCCTGCTCACCAGCACAGCAGCCCAGAGGTAAAATCTCATGTTTTTATATACATCAAAGAGGTTGACATCTTTAACCCAACTGATTTCCATATTCTATCAGCCTTCAGGAATATAGTCACCAGCCAGCCCTGGGAAGTGGACTTGGAGGATGATCTGAAGATGAAAACACTTGGCGCTAACTTTGGTTTTGATTATGAGGAAATGACCCCAGATTAATAGAATCTGTCAGATAACTATTAAATGTTTTAGTAAATTAAAACACCTTCACTGGTTTCTTGTCTTAAGTTTACCCATCAAACACTGTAAAGGTCAAGTTAGCTCTTATATACATTAACACGCTATTTATGGCATTTAATTGTAAGGTTGCGCTTTTATTTTGATGACTTCCGGGGTGAACGGAAGTGAAGGAAAAAACGTTAGCTTGTTATAAAGAAACGACGCACAGTAAACACGGCAACGTTAATAGTGAAAATCAAAACAACGGAGAAAAGTTATATAAAACAAAGTAAAGATGGCTACAGTCGACAGGGGAACAAGGTTTGTTTGACTTGTTAATGTATATTTGAACTTCTTGTCACTTGTATCAAATTAATGTTAAACATGGATAACGGTTAAGCAATGTAATGAGCTAGTGATGCTGTAATCGTATGGTAATTGCTGTTATTTTGTTCTTCTCTAGCTCTTACGTTGGTTCTATGACACGGCAAGGAAAGATTAAAAGTCATTTGACCATCAGTTCTGGCCTTCTCAGTTCGACTGGATGCTACAAACACAGAAGTGGTTGAGTTTTAGTAATGACTTTAATTCACATCTTTTTACACAGATTTACATTAAGTATGCAGGCAATGAAAAGAGTGCTCTTGTTTAACCCTCCTGTTGTCCTCATATTCTGTATACACCCCATGTCTGGGTCAAAATGACCCGTCTTCACTAAATCCCCAATATAAGCAGTTTAATTGAATTTTAAACACCAAATTTTATTTAGCTTGAAGAAACATTCACCACAAAATGTGTGAATACTTGAGTTTTCCCTTTTCACCTGCATTTCTATAGCTTTAGAAACAAAAGAAATGTGCAAAAAGGAATTTTGAATGCGTTTTTATTCATCCCAATGAATAAGATTCTTCAGGGGGGTTTTTTTGTTTGTTTTTTTTGCCAGTGAACAATGTAAGAAAATATACAATCCAAAAAAAACAATAACTCATTCAACTAATTAGCACATGTAGAGCAGTACGCAAATGCACAGCTCTTGCAGATATATTTCTTACACCTACAGCACACAGTATGTGTTTTACAGTCCTTCTTTGGCAGGCAGAACTGACATCTCTTACTCTTACTTGCCCCAGCTGGGGCAGCGGCTGTGGCAGCTGGATCCTCAGGTTGATCAGGAGTTCCTGCACTCTGTATAGCTTTGACAACTGCTGCAGAGGCTTCTGTGCAGGGGACATGCTTCCTTCTTTCAATGAGTGGAGTTACAAATGCCTTTCCTAGCTGCTCCAGGAACACCCTCCTCTTGTTCTGCTCATGAGGCATCCAGGTTGGGTTGATCTCTCTCCAAATCACAAAGGCATTGTAGGAGGAATCATCAATGATGTTGTGGAAGATGACCGGGGCCAGTGGGCAGTCATCCTTCTGCAGCTGTATGTTCCAGTCACCTTATTCAGGTTGTCCACACCTCCTTTGTTACAGTTGTAGTCTAGGATGATGGATGGCTTCCTGTCCTTGTGATCATAGTGCTATGCCAGTGTCTGTGTGCAGTGTGCTCAGAAGTACTACATTCTTATTTTTCTTTGGGATGTAGGAAACTAGGGTGGTGGTGAGCGTGAAGGCAAATGTTGATGAGAAGACCTGTCTCTCCTTTGTTGCAAGCAGTGCAGGTGGGAGCTCAGGTTTGTTCTTTCAAACTGTGCCAACCATGGTGATCTTCCTCTTCAGGAGCTGCTGTCATAAAAGGTGAAGAAATTGTCACATGTCACATTGTGACCCCTCAGTCCCTCTGTCACATCAAGCACAACTTGCATCCACTGGTTCCTCTCTGGGCCTCCTCTGGTCTGAATCAGAGTTGTCTTGCTGGGTATCTGGAAAAATCAGCTCTAGAGCCGTTTGGACATCATGGATTCAACACAAAGAGAATTTGGGGTAATGTCATCTGCAGCACCTTTATAACTTCTGGAAATCCACAGATCAAAGGCACTGTCCACTAGGGCGGCAGTAGTTCAGTTGGCAGAGCATTCGCCCACTGGTTGGTGGTTCGAATCCAGCTCTCGACATAAACATAATAGGTTAAGCGGTCAGACCCACTGACCCACAGGTTGGCTGATGTGATTCCAGCTCCCACAGATGAATGCTGTCATTGTGTCCTTGGGCAAGACACTTAACCCACCTTGCCCACAGTGTCTGTGTGCACTAGTGTGTGAATGTGTGAGTGGTTCCTTGTTGTAAAGCGTTTTGAGTGCCATAAAGGTGGAAAGCGATGTAGAAAAATGTGACCATTTACCAAGGCCACCTGTCTTGTCTTGTTTACATCTGCTACTGATTGATCTGAAACAGAACTAACAGAACATTCTCATTCTGTGGTGTGTAGATAACTCTGTGACTGTGATTTTAACTGAATTTCACTGTTGGGTCATTTTGACCCGAAGACGACCTTTGTACATTTTTTTGTACAGCATACATGATAATGTGAATAAAGGCAACAATTCACTTTTCCTAAAGTTTGGGTCAATCTAGGAAAAGTCATAAAATTTCAAGTTAAAAAATTATCGTTAAGATGATTTTTTGTTAGTTTTTAACGTGGTAGCGGGTCATTTTGACCCGAGGACAACAGGAGGGTTAAATTCTTTGTATGAATGTATAAAGCCCAACTACATGCATTTTATTTATTTAATTTTTATTTTTTTTAATAAAAGCATGCATTTTTGTTTTAGTCACACACAAAAAATGTATGCAGTGTTGCTTAACCAATCTGAGTTAATGTAGAAATGAGTTGTTCCTCTAGGGGGCAGATGTATACAAAATTGATGGTTAAACACCATTTTTGTCACATCCATATTTGAATGTCTTGCTATGGCTTGCTGATTGATTTATTTTTACCAAGGTAGTCATTTATCAAAATCTGGGCATTTTTTAGCAATTCCACAAAATGCATCCTAGCATTTTGGTAAATGCACCTGTGCACCACCAGAGGATAGAAGAGATTCAAAGGTTTTGATTTCACACAAAAAATCGGGAGCTGGATCATTCTTTTAGCTTGAGGATTTCCTATCAGGATATGATTTAACCGTTTTGCTTTTAGGCTGTACATCATAAAGTCCAATAGGTCTTGTAGTCTATTTGCTAAAAAGGCAGGTTTCCACTCATTCGGCGTCTTGGCCAACAACAGATGCATAAGAGCAGTTTTGAAATGCAAATCCTTAATGTCACTCCTTCCTGTTAGCATTGTCTGTTTCTTGTGTAGAAAAAGGGTGATTTCTAGAGTCTGCATATGGCAAGAGTTTTGGGGCAAAACTTTAGCGATCTGTTGCAAAAAAGTATCTTCATATTTGGACAAAGATAGAGGCCAGGAAGTGTCCGTGGTTTTCAGAGAACAAGTTGTGATGAAGAAATAGGAATGACTGTCAAATCTAATAACTGGACTAATGGTGAAACTTATTTTTTCTCCACTTCTAAACTTAACTGTGACTGCTCCAGGGATGTTACTATTATCAATGCAGACCTCAAACTCATATTTGAACGCAATAAGTGACCATGCTTGTCTCAGTGTGCAATGGAACCACTTGCTCACTTCTGCTTTTGACAGATAGTTTGAGCGTCTTTTGCAAAACCGTTCATCAAAGTCAGTTACTTTTCTTATCTTCATTTTGTCACTCCCATTATGAAGAAGGCACACTATATCTGCAGCACCTGAAGCCTGACATGGGCAGCAGAGTTGAATTTGTGCATTTTTCATGACCTCTATCTGCCCACAAATGTGCATATCTAGCAACGCATCATCTGCTTTGTTATTGTACAAACATTTAAAAATATATGACTCAGGAGGAGTGAGGGGAACAACAACATTATGCAAATCTTCCAAATCCACTGTCCCAATTGACATGCCGCCAACTTCAAGACAAACGTTCTTCATAGATTCTAGTAGATCACTCACAAATCCATCCAAAAACTCTTCTTCTCTGTGCCTCTTAATGGAGCCCGGTTGTATACACTGAGAATAAAAAGTCTGCAGTGTTGTGCTATCTAATACTGCCATATATTCAGCTGCATTTGCCAGGAAGATTGTTTTTGTTACCTTTGAGTTCACTTGGGAATTTCTTTGTCTGAATTTCCTGGCAAAATGGATGAATGAAATGACTGAGAGTGTTTTCCACAAAATCCAAATGTAATCTTTGCCCATATCAGATGTTTCAGATGTACTTTCTTTACTGTGACTTTGTTTGTCAGCTGATTTCATACTTGGTAATAATTTTGAGTTGTTATCTTGGTTAGGCCATGTTTGAGCATCCATTTGACTGTTTGTTTTCATTGTTTGTGGCAAGACAGAATCATCCAGGTGTTTCTGCATTTTGTCATTCTTCACATTAATCTCTAACATTTCTGCTGTATTCTTTTCTTCTTTCGGCATTTGGAAACTCTGAGCTATTTCCTGGTTGATTTTCTCTTTTTCCATTGACAGTAACTGCTCACGGTCTTGCATTCCAACTGTTAAGGCATCATCCAAATCATGATTGTGGTCACTGCTCGGATACATGAGGAGGCCCAGAGCAACGACGAATACTTGGAGAAAAGTATCTTGCATCTTTGTTGTGATCTGTAAAATCACTGAATGTTAGCAATAATACATCTTGAAACTTAAGGGACCTAAACTGTGCTATTTTCTGTAATAATAATGTGTTTTGTTTCATTCACACATGTCTAAAACACAAGCTACAGAAGGTAACTGTCATAACATGTTTAACTACTGCTTCATGACATCACAAGGATTACTCAGACATGAATGAATAAAACAAAACGCAACCCCAGGTATGCTTTTGATGAGGTAACAACATTCTAACATGGTTTAAAGGTCACAAGAATCTTTTCTAATAAACATTTTTAAATAAACACAAATTTTATCTGTGCGCATGATGCTAAATATGATATTGCTTAAGGTGTATGCAACACTTCCTGGTTCTAAAAGTAGTGTCACAATTTTATCTCCAACAAGATTTATTAATTTATAAGAAAATCAGCAGAGAATCTGACTTACCCTAAAATACAGTTTGTCTGGTAAAAGTTGAATCTTTTTTTTTTTTTGCTACAGTTAGCATTTACTAATGGACACGTTGTAGGTGCAATGGAGGATGTACGACCTTGCTCTCACAACACTCTGTGAGCTCTTCCTTTTTTAGAGGCAGTTGTAAGTTTTCTGTCGTCACCTATTTCCTGCATATATTCAACTGTGACAGTTAATCATTACAGATCATTTTCATTGGGTTTATGTAAAGGTAGAATGTTTGCGAATGCAATAGTAATATATCAAATATATCTCAATCACTCAATCATGTTTTTCAACATTATTTTCTAAATGGTGAGGAAGTTTATTAATTAGCTGTGACAGCATTTGGAGCAAAAATACACTGGTTTTCAGCTATTCCATCTCTAGTTCTAACCACTTAAAAGACAAAATAATCATCAGATTGCATACGTACATAGTTTAATGTACAGAGGCGAATTACAGCTGTCAACATCTAGAATGCGAGAGGTAGTAGTTTATAAGTTTACACCGCTTCCTACTCCTTTTTCAGCAAAATGTTATTATTGCACAATATGTACAATAATATTTAATGTTGATGTGATAATATTTCTTTCTATATCTATAAATAATTGTTCTTGATTAGTAATTGAAGTATAAGTAATCTTGTTTTTGTACCTTTAACATTTGGAGATTATGCTGACACTACAGGTTGAGAATATAATAAATATTTTGAATCTGTTATTTGTCATTTGTATAGGCCTGTCACTGTATTTACTATATCAAATTGTTATTGTGGTCTACTGGTCTATGAATAGGATAGGATCCCCTGCCTTTTTCCTCGTGGTCTTCTAACTGGTTTATCGAGCTTTGCCTCATTCAACCTGTGCAGTTTGTAGTTAGACATTATGGCAGACTTGGTATTTGTTTAGTATTTTCCTGAAAGGGATCTACTAGTCGCCTCTCACACAACACCATCAAACAAATCTTCAGCCCAGAGACATTTGAATGGTTTCAGAGTGGTTTTGCATGTTCAGATTAAACACCACAGGTCCCTATATTCACAGTCACAAACAAAAATAAAATCAATATTTAACAATAACAGCTGGCCTAAATAAAATAACTACATGTGATACTGTGCTTGATTTAAGTTTTAAGTCAGTAAAAGTATCCATAATAGTATTTTTGTTACTGCGCAGGTGCCAGTGAAGGGAGGGGCCGCTGACATGATGTGGTCAGCTTTGAACATCATAGAGAGTTTGAGACTCAGGAGTCCAGTCCACAGTGATCTGCAATGGTTCCAGACTTGATAAAATTATCTTATTAGAAATGATCAAATTTTAATTTCTTCAATATTTTCTTTATCAACATAAAGGTAAGTTTTTTAGTTACTTATGATGTAATAGTTTTTTTGTTATTCAGTTTAGTTGGTTTATATATAGCATAGAGTAACAAAACAATCCAGCTGGCCTATATACAGACTTTTGTTTCACTTATTAATGTACTTCTTGTATATTTATTATTTATTTAGGTCAATGGGTATTTTACTAAAAACTTTTCAAAGTCATTGCCTATAAGCAAATCAATTCTGTTTCTGACCCCTGGAGATCAGCAATGCAAATTACTTTTTAATGCTGTTATGTTAGAATCTGTGGGAAAATGTTGAGGTATTTGATTTGTTAATAAGTTGATAAGAAATAAATCTGGATAGATGAATATTGGACCATGAAAATAGTAAAGGAGTTGAACTTGACCCCATAGTTTTAAGTTTCGTAAATGTCAGATTAGGCCTACAGATTCTGCCCAACCCATGTCTTATCTACTTTTCTTTCTGCTTTCTACTTTCTTTCTACTTTCTTTTAGATTAGTTTACCTTCTCAAAATGGATAAGTTCCGGATGATGTTCCAGTTCCTGCAGTCTAACCAGGAGTCCTTTATGAACGGGATCTGCGGTATCATGGCCCTGGCCAGTGCTCAGCTGTACTCTGTGTTTGAGTTCAGCTGCCCCTGTATGCCCGAGTACAACTACGCCTATAGCATGGGGCTACTGTTCGTGCCGCCCTTATGGTTCTTTCTGCTGGGGTTTGTTATGAACAATAATGTGTCTGTGCTGGCGGAGGAGTGGAGAAGGCCCGTGGGCAGCCGGAGGAAGGACCCCACCATCCTGCGCTATATGTTTTGCTCCATGACCCAGCGGTCTCTCATCGCGCCCGCGGTCTGGTTTTCCGTCACACTTATGCACGGCAGGAGTTTCCTTTGTGCGTTTAGTACCAGCATCGATATCGACAGACTGGGGAACTTCAGTGTGTTCAAAGGGATGTCCGAAGAGGAGCGGATCAAATTACTGGCCAGAATCCCGTGTGATGACGATGTATATTTTGAGCAACATAAAGAAATCAGAATGGTGGCGACACGGTACATGAAGTGCATTTCCCAGGTAGCCACGTGTAGATGTTTTTAACTTTTTAACAATTTGCTTCTATTCCTCGAATCGCGATCATTTCAAGGAAATAAATAGGCCTGTTTAACCATGAGCAAAGCACATGCCATCAGTTGAGAAATTAGCAATTTGAGCTTGGTCAATCTATATTCTAAACACAAATAAAACGATCACAGCTCTCGCCTAAAACGGCTATCTTATCTAAAGCGATATATCCTATCCTCCTAATGTGAATTAGTTAATGAAAGCTTAAAGGGCCCATATTACATTATTTTCTGATCAGTGTTATAATTTTGTATTTTAATTTAAAACACTTTACTTTACTTTATACCCAAAGTTGTGTTTGTTTCATTCACATATTTAACACTCAAATCTTGCATGTTTGGGCCATCTTGCATGTTTGGGCCAAGTTCTTCTCTTAAACCGAAAATACTCTGTTCCACCTTGTGATGTCATGTGGTAATACAGAAAGTGCTCCACTGTGTTTTTAAACTCCATAAACCTTCACTAGAATCATTCAGATGATTTCAGATTTGGAATTTCTCAACTGAACAAAAGGTAAAAGTTAGCCTTTAACTTGAAAACTTCATGACATCATAAGGTGGAACGGAGCATTTTGAGATTTGGAGATGTAGAGAGACTAATAATAAAAGGTCACTCAAGCATGTGTCAATGAAACAAAACACCACTCTAGGTATGTTTGTGATGAGGCAACAACATTATAACATGACCTGAAGCCCACATAAGTCAATTTTGCGTAATATAGGACCTTAAAGGTTTGAAGTCAAAATAAGGTAACTATATTTTTGGTGTTGCTTTAATTCGCCATTTCGACATTGCCTCTGACCTAAAATTCAAACTTAGAAACACATACAGATTAAATTCAGGAGTTGAGTTGAGGCATGCCTGGGCTAGATCTTAGTGCCATTTGCTTTGCTTATAACAAGGCATGTCATGACAAAACTAGAAAAACAACAAACTGTTACATAATTCCATATTTTTGTACCAGGGCCCAAGATATAGGCTCATAAGTTTTGTTCATAATGTCATCTTCTTTTGACAGTAATTCTGATGTTTCTCTTTTATGTAGGAACATTAAAAGTGATAATATGTAACATTGTTTTTCCCCTCTGCAGGCCTGTGGGTGGATGCTTCTGCTCATGATGACCTTCACTGCCTTCTTAATCCGGGGCATCCGACCATGTTTCACCCAGGCAGCGTTCCTCAAGACTAAATACTGGTCCCACTATGTTGACATTGAGCGAAAGATGTTTGACGAGACCTGTAAGGAGCATGCCAAGAGTTTTGCAAAAGTTTGTATTCACCAGTATTTTGAAAGCATCAGTGGAGAGATGCGCACCTTCCACCACAACCGCATGTATGGGAGGGATGGTGATGTTAATGAAGAGAACATCGACGATGAAGAAAAACTTCTGGGTATCAGAGCTCAGGAAGATATGAATAAAGTTTTATGGAACTGGCATACTAGTAAACCAGCGCTGGCTCTCCGAAAGGACAAAGTGGATGCTCAAAGCAATGGACGACTGAATGGTTATGTAAATGGTGAAGCAAATGGCTTTTTGAATGGACACACCCCTGATGTGGAGAAGAAAGAATGGGCCGTATATTACAGCAAGGTTTGAGAGACGACAAAGAGACTGCCTTTTATTTGCCAGACAATCGCAGGTGGAGCTTACACTATTTACACTTAGTGTATGTAAAGTTGGGATATAACACACAGCATATGGAACTCATGTGCAACATTTATTTCTGAGCGTAGCTCAAAATATGCTATTGCACTATGACATTAGCATAAAACAGAGATTAGATGGTGATCTGACCATAGATCATATATATCTTTTATAGTCTATGGATCTGACATACTGTTGGACACTTCAAAATATGCAGTACAAGACTGAAATATCAATATTTGTATTATAGTTCAACATCACATTGATTGTCTATGTGTTGACACACAGCAAGAAATATTTACATATAAGCTAAGATCAACATTTAGATTTTGCCTTTGGTCTTTATTGACATGTTAAGGCTTGTTAAGGCTTCGCAAACTCTACACAATTGCCTTTTATGGGCTGAGAAACTGAAGGACTGTGATAGTATGTTTATCATGGAAAAGGGAATGGTTTTGTGTCCATGTCTGTGCTGCCAGTGTGTGCTCACAAGAGGGCGTGCTCTCACCGAAACCCAATTTTCCCATGCCAACAATGACAACATAAGCATGTATCTCTATCAGCTGAACTTGAAAGCACTCATCTCTGCACGCAGTGTAATAAAGTCGATCTGTTTGTGCTTGTGCACTCAATCCAGCTGTTGCTCTGTTAAGCAGTAATGTCATTACAGATAGCAAAGGCAGAGGTGGGTGGGGGTGAAATGGCATGGATCCCATTGAAGCCTCTCCCTCCCTCTGGGGATTAGTGGAGCAACACTCCCCTTGACCGTCTCTCGCTCGCCCAGGAGCCCAGCAGCTGCTCTCAGCCTCACTGATTTGGCAGCAGGGCCTGCTGGTGTGGGGGTGTATATCAAAGGCTTTGCCTATGATTCAGATTTTCCTTGTTTTTTTTCAAAAGTTGTTTTATTTGTGTACCTGTCCAACATTTAGTCCTCTCATCCTTTCCAGTGATAAAGATGTCTTGGCCTTGTAGAGTACATTTCAAACTGACAAGCTGCAGTACAAGGCCTGTAAGGTCCCTGACTTGTACTACACAGAATGGCTTTGTTTTGGGTGTCAGGACATCAGTCATGCACACGGCTCTGTCTCTCTTGTCTCCCTCTCACATATACATGCGCAGGAGTGTTCACACAGCAGCACATACACATCAACATGCTTGCAGGCGCCCCATTCGTCAGTGTCTGGCTCATTCTGCCCTCCTTCTGCCTACAGATTGGAGGACAGAAGTAGCGAGGGAGGGCTGAGGGAGAGGAGAGTTGCGAGGCAAAACGGCTGGTCACATGAGCACAGATCTGTTTACAAACCCAGAGCAGAGCAGAACGAGAGGAGGAAAGGAAAAACGGCTTTCTGCTTTCTCCCTGAGCACCATTATGGACTGAAAAAGGAAGAAGGGAAGCCTGCCATGACAAAGCCAGCTGGAGGTGGGAGAGACTGAGCTCGACATGCAGACAAACTCATGCAAACACACTGCCTTTGTCTCCTGTTTTTTTTTTCTCAATTGAAGGAGCAGATGGTTAGAGGGAGAGTAGGATCCCCCTCCTCCCTAGTTATACACAGTGACTGACACACAAACATTGACCAGCAGAATACCAGCTCCACATCTCCGGGACTGTTGTTTTTGACTGCATGGAGCTGTCCTCACTTTGTCTGGCCTATGAGGGAAGCGCATCGTGGGCCTCTGCACTGTGGAGGAATAACCCCTGCAAGATTAGAGGACTGAGGGAGGAGACAGAGGAGACGAGAGGGGGATGAGACCTCAAAATCCCCTGTCAAAAAAGCTGCTTTGATGCCGAGACAAAGCACAGACTAATGCCTGATAATTACCATCATTCTACAAGAACTGTCATCCTCAACTGTGAATATTATTGAGCACAACAAGGGGACACTATCACAAAGTGGACATAAAGAGCCCTGTTTTCTGCTCTAAATGTAAGTATTTCCTGTCGCTAAGGATCTTGTTTTGTTGTGACATTGAACTGAGCAAGATTCTGTTGTTGTTGAATGGCACACATGCAGCGAAGCTAACAAAACAACCACTCTTCAGTCAACAAGATTTCTTTGTCTCTTCCACTTCTCCATGCTGATGACATCATTCTCACTGGGACCCAGGAGCACATGAGGTCTCCAGAACTGGTTCAAAACCTCAGTCCCAAATCTCCCAATGTTTAACACAGACTGGTTAATCCTAGATTTGGGAATGTTGAGGCTGTAAAGAGTGCTGAGCCAACAAAATATCCTTCAAAACCACCACCTCCTCCTCTGCCTGAGGATTTGTGGAATCAGAAGCAAATCTGAAAATCTTGATGGCTATTTATGAAGGGACTGTGAGCCTAACAAAGGAGTCATCCAGCTGAGGGGGACTGCAGAAGGTTCGGTGTCCGAAGCGGCTGCCCACGAGCTTGGCCTCCATCCAGACTTTCTCCTGACAGGGCCTGAATTTACTGCTGCTGCCCTGGGAGTCAAATTTCATGCAACCATTCCAATGGTGTAACGGTAAGTAAGTGGATTTCTCTGCTGTTTGCCAAATACACAAGAGCAGTAGGCCACTTGTGTCTCATATCTAGACTAAGTTGTTTTTCATAGTGGATAAACAGATCTGCATTATAGATGGTTGCTACATTACTGAGAGAGAAGGCCTCTGTGTTGTGGTGGAGACATTTAAAACAAGGCACAGTCAAGGTCATGGTTGATTTTGGGAAGTAGCTCAAATCATTTTTATTTGTCTTGTAGGTTATGGTTACACTACAAGCAGGCCTTTCCTCTGGTGTTATTTTCACAACCCCCATCAGCCACACAGTCCATACCCCCCACAGTCAACATGCTGGACCCATTCATCCCCTTAGGAGAGACAGAAGCTTAGGGGCTGGCAAAGACCATCCTCTCTGTAAATTAATAGAAGCACGTGCGACTGTGGAAGTGGGGCTTCCTCGGCTATTGTCTCACCAAATGGCCCTTCTGTCCCTGGAGTTTATGCTGATTATTATGCCCCACCCCCTGCCACCTGCAAGACACTCGGGGCACTCGGCATTAACCATAGATCCAGACAGACAGGCACACTTTCTAAACCCCTCCATCCCCCATACACACACCCACACACATACACACACAAATCTAGGGTACACACTCCAGCCTTTACCCCTATAGGGCAAGAGGAACAGATGGTGGTGTGGCGGAAGTTCAGTCTCTCCTCCATGTTTGCCTTGTTCACAGCCAATTAACGCCCATCCCAGTGAGAGCCGCAGTTGCCACCACAGTGCGACTCACAGCTCCCTGGATAAATCCAAACAACAGCCATTACCATTCAGATCCTCTCAGGAAAATATGAAGAATCACCTCATCACAATAAGACAGGGACACCACAAAGAAATCAAAATAATACCACTGAAAGATTTCCATGTGGTTGGTTAACACTAGGCAAGGCAAGGCAAATGTATTTGTATAGCACAACTCATACACAAAGTAATGCAAAGCGCTTTCAAATCAGATCAGATTGTGATTGTTTAGAGAAGGAAATTGAAGAAGAGTAAATCATTTAATTCTTCAAAGTTAATTCTTGTCAACTTTTACGAACTTTTGCTACTTATTAATTCAATTCTTGGCTTTAGAAGTGCTTTGTTACTCAGTGGTATTCAATGTGCTATTTTGTTATTAGAAGCTAAATTTAGAGTTTTGTTTGGGTCCTTCTGAATTATGGTGTATATTCTTAAAAACTGTAGAGGCCTTGGCTGTTAAATTCGTGATTCAACACAATATCATTCTCTTAAAATTCTAAAATGTGAGGATTCATTTTAGAGAAGAAGTTTTACAGTTGACAGTATAAACACAAGGAACAGCACTGTTTTAAAGTAAAACTATAACTTAGCATGTAATAGTTTAAAGAGAAAACTATCAGGCTTACAGAAAGTACTTTTATCATATGCCTATAATATTGCATTGATAAATTATACAATTGTTCAAAATTATAAAATGTTTAAAAAAAAAGAGATTTATTCAGGTTTCAGGTATTTATTTATAAAGCCTTGTTTATAAAGCCTTTACGAATGCATATATATTTAATTGTTAAGGCAATGTCTAATAACATCCATATGATTAAGATGAACAATGATTAAGAGTATTACTGGGAAAAATAGTAATTGGCTAAATAGTTGTTATGTACGTGTCAGAATAAAACATTAACACATACTTTATTAACACTAACAAATGACCTACTTAGTGAGCTTATTATTTAGTTATGCATATGTTGTCCCTAAACCGAAAATTCATGATCTCATATGTGAAATTATTTGTGCTTCCTTGTGACAGGACAAAATGAGTGTAAAACAAAAACTAACGAACATAAGTAAAAGTGTCAACAGTGAGGTGTGGAGTGAGTTTCAGCAGTTGAATCTGTGTTTGTGTCTTGTGTGTACACATGGCAGGGTGCCTCTGTGCTTTGGGTATTCAGCGCTCTGAACACTATTGCAGTATGACGTCGGACATCTACCACCTCCCGCTCAATGTCTATGTCATTGTGCTGGGCATTGGCCTCTTCGTCTTCATGCTCAGCCTAATCTTCTGCTGCTACCTGTTCAGGTGAGGAGGCACATGACGGCTGGATAGTGTGGACTGTGGAGGTGGTGGGAACGTAGGGCTCCACCATTAATCGCATTTATAAACAGGATTTAAATCGTTCTACTCAGGTATACAATGGTGCACTCAAAAATACAATTAATTTATTTCCTCTATAACCTATGCTCACAGAATGTGTAATTGTTCTGTGTTACAAAACATTACTAAAATATATTGGGTCTATACTTCCTACATATTCATTTTACTATTGTTCAGAAGTAATTATTTTTATTTATCTTTATTTAACCAGGATTGGACCGCTGAGATTTGTCATAATGAAGCAGCTTTATGGGAAAGTGTGTTATTTAGCCAGAAGTGAGACAGACACAGGATATACTACAGAAGCAAACAGGAAGTTGAGCAGGAAATGTGACCTTACTGCAAAATGGAAATAAGGTGTTTTGTGAATGGAAAACAAAATGAATGGTTCAGCTTCTCAAGATAACACACTCTAAATTTGTCATATATAAAAAGACTGATTTATGTAACTGTTTTGTCTGATAAGATTTATTAGTGCTTTCTTTATTGTTATCTCTGTGTGAAAATGATGGCTAAATTGTATTAATGAGAATGCAGCAACAACAATAGACAGTGAGGAACTGGTTTAGACATGCACTGGAAACAAAAGATGGCATTACTGTGCCAGTAGAACACAGGAAAAGGGCCAGAGAGGTCACCCTAATAAGTGCTTATTTGAAGCAATTTTTACTATAATACTTATGTTTACAAACTCAGAAGCTTTAGGCAAATACATTTTATCAATGCACTTTTAGTACAAAAAGAATAAATTTAACATTAAATGTGTGGTAATGCGGATATACAAAACGTGCCACTCCACCAGAAATGTAAACAAAGTGAAAAGATAAATCCAAAAATCAACAATGACTGAACCTTCACAAACATGTGTGCTCCTAGAGCACGAAAACTCTTCTTCACAAACATGTTTGGTTCTAGAGCTTGAAAACCTCAATAAACACTTGAGCGTGATAAAGATTTCTAAATATAATGTTTTTGTGTGTTAGATT